GACTTTAATTCCTGGGAGATAAATCGGTCGACCACATCAGTTAATTTTAATAAACAAGGTAAAATCCCTGTTAATAGTCCCTCCCACTTGTTATTGGAGGGACTAGAAAAGGTCTGCAAAGTAAAAACCACTGTCCCTAAAAATTTTCAATGTATGAACCGGCTTATTCAGTCATTGGTCCTAAAAAAGTTGCTGTGGGAAAAAAATAAAATACATAAAAAGGCGTTATGTCAGTCAGTATTGGATTGTTTGGCGTGTCTAAGTTCTACTATACTTAAACAGAGAAAAACAATCCACTTGTTACTTCAGCCACATAGTTCCCCTCCCTCCCTTCCTGACAAAATTGAGGAACAACTACCTCCTCCGTATAATTCACAGGAGGCCGTTCCCTCTGTTCCAACCTTGCCCTTATACCCTATAACTGCTGTAAAATCTAAAAATTATGGTCAACAAACTACTACCATCACAGAATGTAGGAATTTCACCCCTGCTGAGTTCCGAGCTTTGCAACCCAGGGTATCTAGAAAAGACAGTAAACCTGTCTGAAAATGGCTAATGCAATTATATAGGGAACATATTAATAATTTTCTTTCTAGTCTGGATGCACCCCAGTGTTAACCTATCAGGCCACTGGAGGGCTTTCTGGAGGAGACTGGAGAACAAAAATAGGTCAAAAATTTGCCGCAGTTCCCTCCGTAGCCTTGACAATGGCTCAGACTAATACTCATGGGAAAAAAATCAAGCCCACTCCTGATGAAATCCAAGATTGGGAGTCAATGTATGCTTACATTTTTTTAAATACACTTCTTAATGTACCGGACAATGTTGATGGTACCGCCAAATGGCGAAATGATACCATTATACAGACACAAGCCAGGAGAGTAAGTGCAGCTACTGTTTGGCATGTAGCTAACTATCTTTCAGACGACATTAAGCACAAAAATCCGTGGTTGGAATCTATTGTTTTGGGATTGGTGGACTTACATTGGAAGCTCTTTCCACACAAAAAATTCAGTGGGACCAGGAAAATGTAGCTAATGACCCCAAGCCGTTAAAATCAAACCTCTTGGGAAATCCTAGGAAGGAACATTCCGGGGTTGCACGGGCTGCTTTTGCTTTCTTATAAAATCAAAACAAATTACCAGAAGCCCAACTCTCAGATCCTGAGATAGTAAAATTTGCTGAACGCCATGGATTTGTTGCACAAGGAAAAATAAAAAAGAATAGGGAAACGGCGGCTTGAGCAGGGAGATGAGCAAAGTCATTTCCATAAACCTTAACAAAAGTTTCCCTGTTTTACAATTAAATACTCATGAAAAGCAGGAAAATTGGTTACTTGATACAGGTGCGGAAAAGTCAGTTTACTTTGTAAAATCTATTAAAAAGGGAAATCTCTCTGAAGTTTGGTTAAAGGGAATCGGGGGAACGAAAAGGGGATTTGTTTCTAACCTTGCAATAGAAAGCGTTAATTGTTCTGTTATCTTGGTACCTATGGAAGGTAACTCCTTTCATATTTTGGAAAATGATAACATTGAAAAAATTCCCTGTGTCAAATCTTTTTTAACCACCTATATTACCCTCCCTTTGCAGGAGCAGATTCCTTTTATGGTCCAATTAAAACCAAACATACAGGTGGGGCCCCAAAAGCAATACCCATTATCTTGTGAACAAATTGCCTTGGGAAATGAATTGATTAACCAAGCATTAACTAATGGATGGATTGAGGAAACAGTCTCACCTCATGCATCATCTGTTTGGATTGTAGCCAAAAAGGAACCCGGTAGAGGGCGGCTGGTAATAAACTACAGACGAATTAGTGCTGCAGTCCAAGTAGAAAAGGGGGTTATTGCTAACCAAACCGAAATTCAATTTAATCTTGCTAAATTAAAGGATAATCCTTGAAAAGCAGTTATTGACATTAAAAATATGTTTTTCCAAATTCCAATTTTAGACCCTCAAGGATTGACTGCTTTCCTGTGGAATGGGAAAAAAGTATAAATTCCGAGTTGCCCCTCAGGAATTCTGTAATTCCCCTGCTTGGGCTACACAAATGATGACACAATCAATGGCTTCATTCAATCATAAAAATTGGGTCAGTTACTTAGATAATATTTTAATCTTTGATTCTTCTAAAAAAAATTGTAATACTGTCTTAAATGCCTTGCTTCAGCACCTCACAAACCAGAGTTGGGAAATCAAAAAGGAAAAGGTAAAAGAGCCTGCCCTTAGAGAAACATTTCTGGGGTGGAGATGGGGTGCCATAAATATTACACTAAATTCAGATGTAATAAAAGCAATAAACAAACTTACTTCTATCCGTTCCTTAAAGGATTTCCAAAGGGCTGCAGGATTAGCGGTCCAAACCAGTCTTTGGTCTTCCTCCTGGAATACCTTTTTCAAACAAGCCTACCTTCTCAGTAAAGGAAAAAACCCCAATTGGTCGCTTGTGAAGACAATAGGGCAAAAATGGAAGGCCCACTTCTTTAAGGAACCCTCTCTTACCTACATAGATGTCTCTAAAAGGGTGGATGTGTATGTAAACGCCGGGCATGAGCATTGGTGGGTAGAATTCAAACACAAAAAATCACTCTTCCTTTACCAGTGGGGGCCTCCTGGTATCATTTCTACCGATGGTGGTCCTCCTTGGAATAGCCGTAAGTGGGAACACTGGTGTTCAGTCCAGTTAATAGCTCCCATCCTACATCTGGCATACCACCCACAAAGCAATGGGGTAGTGGGAAAAAAATCCAAAATCTTAAACCTAAACTAAAAAAATGAGCAAGGTGATTGGAAAGGATGGAAAAATAAATTGCCTGCTGTTCTCTGGGGTATAAATTCTAAAAAATGTCAATATGCATATCGCCTAAAGCCATTCGTTGAGGCTGACCCCTGGAAGCCTTTGTATTAAAAAGACCAGTTGGTCTGGCTTGTACTGCCTCAAACGCATGAACTCCTGGAAAAAAAAATAACAAAAATTCTACCCCATCCTTTCACGTACTTAATTTCTACTAACAGTGGTAATATTTGTGCTAACCAAGCCTGGATAACCCCTCGGGCCACTAAAACAGTACAGTAAGCCGCAGTATATTTTTTTTCCTTGTTACAGGAATGTGGCTCTTCTACATTTCCATGTTTGCATGGCGAATTCGGTGGCAGTTAATTTGTGCGTCGGAAATGGCACCCTCTTCTTTCCTGTGAACTCATTCTTTCCTGGATGCACCTTTAACGAAACTGTTTGCAACATCAGCAATCCCTGGTGTCCAGTAAAAGCTGTCAATCTAACTCCTATAAAAAAGCCTTGGCTTAAAAACCGATCTATCTTTACTTATGTTTACTTTCTTCAACCGCCTTTTGAATGTATACTCCCTATAAATAATACACTTTGGTTTTTTGGCTGTGCATACTATAACTCTTCCTGTTTCACATATGGTAAAGGACCTGTGTATGCTTGTCAAACGAAAGTAAAATGGGATGTGGGCGCTTCGGAAAAACTGTTGGGGACTAAACCAATAAGAATATATTATCCCATTGAACCGCAAAGCAGTAATTGGACTTTTGAGCAAGTTCTCCCATATGGTATATCTCTTACCACCTACACCAGCGCAATAAAAACGTTGTTCATGATCGGCACAGTCTCCAGGCAGTAATCCAGCAGCACAACAAGATCAATCGCCAGCAATGGGAAGAGGACTCCCTTCAAAATCAGGCACTCCAGGATAGCCTTCAAGGACAAACTCTTCTTTTTCAAAGTATTGAACTGGTCTTGTCTCTTGCTGTTAATAAATCAAACCCTTGTAAAAATGCTTCTGCTTGGGAGGAGGATTATAAAACGGGGCCTTTATTCGGTACCATTTGTGGCCCCGTAAGTATTAGAAAATATTGTACTGCTCAAGTAAAGTGTATGATGCGTGAGGGGTGGCTTCACCTTAAATAATCCTTAATCAATAACACATACTCTAAAAAAGTGTTAGTGGAAAATAAATGTGTAGGTATACCCCAAAAATTCACAAAGACCTCATTTTTGTTATTATCCCCCACATGTTCCCTGCGTAGTCAGTCGGTGGTATTTCAACCAGCTAAAAGTATAGCTTGCATTACTCGGTCCTACTGTTATCATTAACTGTACTTGGGTTCACGGTGCACTTGATTCTGTTAAACTCCAGGTGCACCTACCCACACCTCTATGGGTGTCAAAATTGAAATAAATTGTCCAAAAATTCTCTAAGATTGACCTAGCAATAATTCGGCTGTGCAATGTTATTTCTGTCCTTCTTAATGTCTCGCAAAATCGCTACCAGAAACTAACCCTGGTAATTCCTCCCTCTTCTCAGTCCGAAAGTGCAGTAATAATCCGCTGGTTAGAGGAAATAGAAAAATTTGTCTGTTCAATCAAACAAAACATAAAAGAAACAACTCATCAGGTAATTAAAATTCCTAAAAGACTGCTACATATAGTAAAAAAGTGGGAACCACACATCCTTCTGGAATTGGTTATCTGCCTTACCATTCTTATAGCTAAAGCTTTGCTGTTTGCATGCATTCGTTATTTGCCCCCTGTTATTGCTAAATATACTCAAATAAATATTGTTGTTGCTAAGTCTGAAGTTTAGGCCTCGGGGGAATGGAATCCTTCCATTAATCTCCACAAGTGTGTATGGCAATACCCATTTTTTCATGTTCTCTGTGTGTATATATATATATCTTCCTACTGTATTTTCCACTGCATTCATCTGATGAAGTGGGTTTTAGCCCACGAAAGCTTGTGCTCAAATAAATTTGTTAATCTCTAAGGTGCCACAAGTAGTCCTCGTTCTTTATTCAGGAGATAGAAATACAGGCTACAGTATAACTTGTGACTTTGTTGTTTCTCTGTGCAGATAGAGAGATTTTTTCCATTTAGGACATTAGTACACCTAAGGTGTGTCTGAACTGAATTGCCATCTCAACAATGCTATGATATTCATAAATAATTGACTTTTAATTCTCCACTTATTTTTCAGATTATTGGTAATATCCTGCAATGACTACAGAGATAAATATGAAAGAAATCCTTCTAGATATACTGGACAATCTCTCAGGGGAAAAGGAAGGCGATCTTGAAAGATTTAAATTCAGCTTAGCAAATGCTAGCTATGGAGAAAAAGCACCGATCCCCAAAGGTCGGCTGCAGAAAGCTGACACTCGGATCAAACTTGTAGACCTCTTGTGTGAATACTACAAGGAACATGGTGCAGTGAATGTAGCTATATTGGTCCTTGAAAGGATCAATCTCAGAGATTCTGCTGATAAACTCAAGGAGGCAACAAAGAAAGGTAAGAAAACCTAATGTTCCTGCAACTTCTGAATCTTATAATCTAAATAACAACATAACAAATGGTGTCTTGTCCTGGTGGTGATAGGAAACAAGGGCTCTAGGGGAGGAAAGGGTTACGGTTAACTAATAAATGCTACAACATTAATAATACAATACATTCCCCGCCTTCTGCCATTCACTACTGCACCACAACCCCCAGCTCCCTCCTGGCTCCCTACCCAGAGATTAGTGTAGTAGTGCTGCAAACATTGACCAGCTTAAAGAAAACAAAAGGGGACCTCTTACAGTGTTTTCACTCCTATGTGGGGCAGGGCCCTCTCCTGGCACCTTGGTTTGGAGTCTGTGGAGGCTTCAGTTGGCCAGCACCAGCTTGGTTCTATGCCTCCACAGGACTGAAACTGTCTGACCATGTGCTGCATTCCATAGCAGTACAGAGACCCGCTTTGTCTGGAGTGGGAGTTAATCAGAGACTCCCTGAGCTGTCCGGCTTCTCCCCCAGCTCCTAACTCAAACAGCCCAAACTTGAAGCTAAAACTAGTCCCTTTGTCTCTGAGTCAGGCTGTCCCTTCCCACTGAGGTACTGAGTAATCCTGGCTCATTACTGGCCCAGGAAATTGCCTCTATAAATCACTCCATACATCTCAGAACAGACCGAAAGGAATTTTACTGGACTATTCAGAAACATTCATCATTGTGGTGAGAATAAAGTGCAGCCTCTAGAATATACATTTTCCTGCAAGTGGCCTGTGGCTGTTCTCGCTTGGCTTGTGGGATCTAGATGCCTTTGCTGCAAGCTCTTGGAGTCTGCAAGAGAGCAGTTTCTGGAGCCACTCACCCCTCTCTCCATGCAGGATTCTCAGAATATTTTGGAAGGGCTGCTTGTATTCCCATAGTTATGGTTAAGTTAGTTTTGTACTTAAAGTAGGGATGCAATCTCTGTTACATATGAAGAATACAGACTGTCCTCCCCAAAATTACAGCATTCACACTTTGACTACAGGATGAATCTTCTGAAAACTTACAAATAAGTCAGTTAATTCATTTGAGGTCAAATTAATTTTCTGAAAACTTACAAATAAGTCAGTTAATTCATTTGAGGTCAAATTAATTTTAAATGAGCTCTTTAATAAATGTAGCACTTGGAGTCACATCATTGGTTTGTACCTAATGTTCTAAATAATGGAATAACACAGATACTTCAAACTACTCATATAGTCAAAACTCAATAAAACCTTGTGTGTAGGCTAGATGTGAGGACTTTTAGGACTAGAGGTATTTTCCCTATTATTCTAAATAACTAGAAATTTCTTCTTTATCTGAGGCTAAATTCTAGGGATCACTGCTTCGTAGCTTGCATGGGCCAAGCTTATTGCACACTCCAGGGGCTCCTTGCATCCCTCCATTCCTCCCACAAGCTTCCTGTGTTCCTCCCTCCCATCCCCCTCTATTTCAGGGACTTCCTGCAACTTCCCCCAATCTCCCACTGTGCCAGGTTTCTGTGTACCCCCATTTCCCCTTCCTCCCATTCCAGGGTCACCCATTCTCCCCCACATGCCAACGACTCTGTGTGCCCCCATTCACACTTCCCCTGATGCCTTCCAGTCCCTGTTTCCCCATGACAGGGGCTCTGTGTGCCCCCACCATTCCCACTTTACTTCTCATGCCAAGGACTCTGTATGTTCCCCTCCTCCATACTAGGGTCCCCCAATCTCCCACTCCTATTGTTCTCCCCCATCTTCTCCCATTCCAGGAGCCATGTTCATGCCCCCTTTGACCCTTCCCCTTACCAGCATTATTATCTATCTGGGGGATAGGTCATTCAGGGTGTAAACAGGTTACACTCAATAGGGAGTATGAGTAGAGAAGAAATAGGGTGTTGCTATGCTGGAAGGCATTAATGGGTGTTATCAACTGATTGTTTGCTCTAGAGACAACTGCAGAGGTTCTTCAAGCTGTTGCTGTGCTAAATAGATGGCAGGAACTTCATGTGTTTCCCCTTCTTGGGTTTCCAGTTTCCCCAGAAATCAATAGGGTTCCTGCCATTGATGCCAAGAGCATTCTCTGAAATTTTGGGATTGGCTGCCATGTTCAAAAATTATCACATTGCATACACATAAACCGACAAACAGAGAAATGCCTTTGAATTGAGTGTAAGGCTTTCGCAAGCTCGACTAATAATATTCTACTACTGAGAAGTCCACTAAGACCTGCTCTTTTTCAAAATGGCTGCCATCTCCATCAGGACTGAAGTCCAAGCCCACGGTCAGGTTGCTATTTTGAGAAGGGCAACTATTTCCCGTTGTTCTCAGTGCGACTGAAACCTCAGGCTGCTTTTAACAAATATGGGTGTTGGCTTCACTCTCATTGGAAAGTGGGTTTTTTGGCAGCGCTGCCACAGCAGCACTTTAATGCCTCAAGTGCAGACAAAGCCATAGAGAAGAACGTTATGCACCAGCCTCTGCTGGCAGAAACTTTCAGTTATGAAAAAAGAAAAAAGGAAAAAAATCCAGATTATTTATTTTAAAATATTACTTATTGCATTAGATTTACTCAACAGAGGAGAGAGTAAGGGGAAAACAGAGCTGTGTGGGGAAGGATACAAGAGGGGAAAGTGAGTGTGTGTGTGTGTGTGAGAGAGAGAGAGAGAGAGAAGGGAACTGTGGGGTGCAGGAGGGAGGGTGAAACTGGAGAAAGTATGTGCAAGGGACTATGGAGGACAGAAAGGAAGAGGGATTTGGAGTATGCGTGAAGTGGATGTAGGGAGGTGAAAGAGGCATTGAACTTTTGACATAGTTTTGTGTGAACCTGGTGATGTAAAGCATCTGCTAACCCAGTCTAACCGGACCATGTGCTCTGAGTTTGGGGTTGAGCAGGCAGAGTATGCCATTGAACCTGGCCTTAAAAATTAAATGAAAAAAGAATGTAAGGTTGATACTTCCTATCTTCAGATTGGAGGGAGAGGCTGGGAGGGATGAAGACACTAGTGCACCATGAGAGCAGAGAGGGTGACAACAGTGGGAGGGAAGGGGAGGCTATTTTTTTAAAAGAAATTCCATGACATGCCACCCCCAAACTTGGGCCAGTAGCAGGATTTGAACTCTGTCTCTATAAATCCCCAGCTCAGCTCAGACCTCATCATTTGATCTATAGTCAGAAATAGTTGTTAGCTTTTGTCAAGGCTGAATCCCCACTCTGTCACTCAAAGTGCAGAAGGTGGGGTCCCACAAGGATTTTAAAAATTAATACTGGCCACTCCCACATATTAAACTCCCAAGGTTACAGCTTTTCTCTGACCTTCGCTTGGTAAATGCTGCCACTATCCAAATGCAAAAGAAAACAAAACAAAACAAAAGAATCCCTTGGAGCCTGGAAGGAGCACTTGGGAATTCCTCCTTGTGGGCTACCCTCAAGCCCTTTCACACACACACCCCACCCCCCAGGGAAGAGCTGAGAAAGAAAACAAAGAAAATTAGCTGTTGCCACCAGCTAATCAAATAGCATATGCACAAACCTCTTAGGACACCAAAAATCCAATTCTGTTTTTAAAAAAACAGGTAAATTGTATTAAAAACAAAAAGGAAGAAAATACATCTGGAATTTAGGCTTTTGCTACATTTTAAAAGAGCAATTCCAAAAATTAAGCACCCAAAAGAGCTTTATTGGGGGTTAGCTTAAAGGCTACAAGCAAACAAAAGCATCTGGAGTTAGCACAGAGGAGTCCACAAGCCTTAAAAAATATACAGAAATAAACCTAATCACATCTTCCCAAACATTTCTAATTTACTTACATATCTGGGTTGTTAAAAGTAGTTCTGGATATGATCTTAGAAAAGTTAGATGCCTGCAAGTCACCAGGGCCTGATGAAATGCATCCTAGAATACTCAAGGAGCTAATAGAGGAGGTATCTGAGTCTCTAGCTATTATCTTTGGAAAATCATGGGAGACAGGAGAGATTCCAGAAGACTGGAAAAGGGCAAATATAGTACCCATCTATAAAAAGGGAAATAAAAACAACCCAGGAAACTACAGACCAGTTAGTTTAACTTCTGTGCCAGGGAATATAATGGAGCAAGTAATTAAGGAAATCATCTGCAAACACTTGGAAGGTAGTAAGGTGATAGGGAATAGCCAGCATGGATTTGTAAAGAACAAATCATGTCAAACCAATCTGATAGCTTTCTTTGATAGGATAACGAGTCTTGTGGACAAGGGAGAAGTGGTTGGTGTGGTATACCTAGACTTTAGTAAGGCATTTGATGTGGTCTCGCATGATATTCTTATCGATAAACTAGGCAAATACAACTTAGATGGGGCTACTATAAGGTGGGTGCATAACTGCTGGATAACCCTACTCAGAGAGCAGTTATTAATGGTTCCC